GTACTCCTCCCTGACGTAAAAGGTAAATCACTTGACCCATGTACTGATTGTTTGGCTGGAAAACAACATGGAGTTGCTTTCCAAAGATCCTCCACACCCACAAGGAGAAAGAACATTCTAAACCTCATACACACCGATTCTAAACCTCATACACACCGACGTGTGCTGGATGTCCGAGAAATCCAATAGTGGGGCATTGCATTTTTTCACCTTCATCGATGACCATTCAAGGAAGGTGTGGTTACACCTGTTAAAATCAAAAGATCAAGTACTTGATGCATTCAAGGAGTTCTATTCCCCAAGTGGAACGTGAGACAGGACGGAAGATTAAGTGTGTGCGATCAGACAATAAAGATGAGTATAGAGGTCCTTTCGAAGCCTATTGCAAGAAATATAGGATTAGGCTAGAGAAGACTCCACCCAAGACGCCACAGTTGAATGGACTAGCTGAGAGAATGAACCGAACTATTGAAGAAAGAGTTCGATGTGTACTCTCTCATGCCAAGTTGTCCAAATCATTCTGGGGAGAAACTGTGATGATCGTTGTTGACATAGTCAACCTCCCACCATCAGTTCCTTTGGACGAGGAGGCTTGGTCACGCAAAAGGGCTTCTTACAACCATCTCAAGGTATTCGGAGGCATTTGTTCACATCCCCAAAGACGAGGGAGCCAAGCTTGATGCACAAACTAAGGAATGCATATATCTTCGTTCTCCTAAGGATGAGTTTGGGTACTGACTTTGGGATCCAATCAACAAGAAGGTTGTCCGAAGCCGAGATGTTGTGTTCTTCAAAGACCAAACAATTGAAGACATCGAGAAATCGGAGAGGCCAAGATTGAGAAGCAGCAAGAGCACAGACCTTACATCGGTCTGACGTGAGGATAATGCCACACCTGAAAATATTGATGTTGAGGATCATGAGCCTATCCTAGAGCAAAACAACCAGGAGACTCATGATTAGCTAGTTCAAGAAGAACCTCAGTCTAGCTCTCCACTAGCGCCCCAGTTAAGACGATCTTCAAGGGACCGAAGGCCATCTTCCCGATATAGCACAGAGGAGTTTGCGATGCTCACCGATGAGGGGGAGCCTCAAAGTTATAAGGAGGTCATAACTGATAGTCATAAAGTGGAGTGGATAAGAGCCATGCAAGAGGAGATGCAATCCTTGCACGAGAATAACACTTATGAACTAGTGAAGCTACCAAAAGGGAGACAAGCCTTAAGGAATAAGTGGGTGTATCGAATCAAGACTGAAGACAGTAGCTCAAAGCCCCGCTACAAAGCTCGGTTGGTCGTAAAAGGATTCAGTCAAGAGAAATGTATTGACTTTGAAGAAATATTCTCTATAGTGATAAATATGTCATCTATCCGAGTTGTTCTTGACCTAGCAGCAGTGCAAGACTTGGAGATCAAGCAGCTCGATGTCAATTTATCACTCCTTCATGGTGATCTAGAGGAAGAGATCTACATGGAGCAGCCTGAGGGTTCAAAGTTCCAGGCAAAGAAAATTTGGTGTGCCGCCTAACGAAGAGTCTATATGGTCTTAAGCAAGCACCTAGGCAATGGTACAAGTAGTTCGACTCTTTCATGACAGAACATGATTTTAAAAGCACGGAGAGCGATCATTGTGTCTTCATAAAGAGGTATGCAGGTGGCGAATTTCTCATACTTCTACTCTATGTTGATGATATGTTGATTATTGGACAAGATCGCATAAAGATAGCTGCTTTGAAGAAAGATCTAAGCAAGAGCTTTGCCATGAAAGATTTGGGACCAACTAGACAAATCCTTGGGATAGGGATCACTCCTGATAGATCAAAGAAGTTGCTATGGCTATCCCAAGAGAGGTACATTGAGAATGTGCTAGAAAGATTCAACATGCAGAAAGCAAAGCTGGTCAACACACCACTTGCTGGACACTTCAAGATGAGTTCGAAGCAAAGTCCCACAAGTGAGAAAGAAATGAAGGAAATGAAGATGATTCCATATTCATCTGCAGCAGGTAGTCTCATGTATGCAATGATATGCACAAGACCTGATATCGCCTATGCAGTTGGTGTTGTTAGTCGCTTCTTGGCTAATCCGGGGAAGAAACACTGGGCTGCAGTCAAATGGATCCTCCGGTATCTACGCGGTACTTCCAAGAAGTGTTTATGCTTTGGAAATGGAAAACATGTACTAAAGGGATACACAGATGCAGACTTGGCTGGTGACATTGATTCTAGGAAATCAACGTCAGGATACCTAACTACTTTTGTAGGGGGAGCTATTTTCTTGCAATCAAAGTTACAAAAATGCGTTGCATTGTCCACTACTGAGACAGAGTACATCGCAGCTACTGAAGCTTGCAAGGAGATGCTGTGGATGAAGAATTTGTTGCTTGAGGTGGGAGTAGATCAAGACATGTATGTCTTGAAGTGTGACAACCAAAGTGTAATTTACTTAGTAAAGAATTTAACTTTTCATTCCCGCACAAGGCACATTTATACACAGTATCATTGGATCCGAAGGGCTCTCGAAGAAAAGCGCATACATCTTGACAAGGTTCACACAGATGAAAATTGGTCAGACATGATGACCAAGGTAATACCATACAAGAAGTTTGAAGATTGTTGTCAAGGTGTTGGTTTGCTACTACCTCCCAATTAAGTCGGGAGGGGGAGATTTGTTGGGATCCCTCCTTAATTGGGAAGATTCTAGAAAATTCTAGAACTTTCTGGAGAACTTTAGAGAAGTGTAGAATTCTATAGAAGCGTGTGGAATCCTCTAGAATATTCTAGAGATGTGTGAAGCCTTCTAGAACATTCTGGAAGAGTATGGAATAGAATGGAGGAGTGTAGAGATTCCTTAGAAATCTCTAGAAAGTAAAAATATGTGTGGAGAATTCTAGAGAGCTAATCTACACCCTTGGATCAAATTAATCCCCACCACTCATTATGAAGGTGGAGTAGTATAAATAAGGGTGGAAGTCTTCATTCCTATCCATCCAAGACAAGAAAACAATCCACTTCCTAGAGTGAGAGAAAACCTCTAATATAGAGTTAGAGAGCCACTTTGAGAGAGAAGTGAGATAGCTTGAGAGTCCTAATCCTCAAGCTCAAGTGAGCCACCGAAGTGAGACAGTTTTGTAAAATATAAATTATTATAATCCTACTATTCTTTTGTATAGTGGAAGAACCTCCATATTGGAGGACCATAAACTCTTGTGCTCTCATTACTATCTTAATTTATAAGTACCTATCTTAACTTCACGAGGCAGAAAAGACCGAGTTTTCCCCACAAAAGGTGGTGCCCAGTTAATATGGGTAATTTGACTTGGGTTTCGGGTCCAAATGGGTGTAATGTTAAAATTAACACAATATTCCGTTTCCTTTTAACACCAACTAACCAAAGGGACTATTGTCAACAGCTAAAGTGTATGTGATGGATGGGTATCAAAATATGAAGATCTGAAGGACTAATATCAAAATTGCTATGATTTAAGGGACCAATATTGAAAAACCGTAAAAAAAAATACAAAATGGCCTTTGTTGAATTAAACAAAGTAAAGAAGGTAAAACTGACATCGGACCCCACAAAAACTCTACTTTACCTTATTTCCTCTTAAATACATTGCAACCAAATAGCCCCTAAGAGCATCTCCAACCCAACTCCAAAAACCCAAAATGGAGCAAAAACTACACCAAATCTTCCTCCAACCGAAGAGCATCTCCAACCCAACTCCAAAAACCCAAAATGGAGCAAAAACTACACCAAATCTTCCTCCAACCGGACTTCAAATTCAGCACCATTTTGAAGACCCAAAATGGAGCAAAAACTACACCAAATCTTCCTCCAACCGGACTTCAAATTCAGCACCATTTTGAAGACGTGCTACAGTGTTGCGCCAGATTTGGCGCAGCACTGTAGCTATAGAGATTTTGGTTTTTCCCAAGTTTACCCTTATTGTTTGTTATAACAAATCAAATATTCCAACTATATCCCATTTTATAGTTTGTAAATAAAATAAATATTCTTTTTGGTGTAAAATTTGGTGTAATGGTTGGAGATGAAATAGTGATTTGGTGTAAAAACTACACCAACTTAGTGTAAAAACTACACCATTTTGGGTTTTTGGGTTGGAGATGCTCTAAGCCCCCTCGGAGAGGTGACATTATGATTCTAGGATTTAATGCTTACCATCTATTTGGATGTGTTTGACAATCACTCACAAACTGAACCAGGATTGATCGTAGCTCAGCTCTTTCTTAATCAGATTAGAAATAAATCAAAGGTGATGATTCAGAAAGCACCACTTTTAAGGGCCAAGTTTTAATTTTGGTCTAAGGAAGATTGTGTCAATATTGGCTCAATTTTTTTCAAATACGAAATCAATCAATTCGAGCTCTATTTAGAGTGATTGCCAATTCAAAGCCTTTGTTTCCCGTATAAAGTGAACTCACCGATCGACCGTGGTATAACAATTTTACGATAAATCGACTAGCCTTACAATTTTATATACTGAGAATCCAGCCAAGCCTTACACTAGCAAGGAAAAGATAGTAGAGAAACAAAGTTAATTGGGAATAAAAATAATATAAAAGGAGATGTGACCGTGATACACGCAGGAAAAAGGAAAAAAAAGGGAAAAAAAATATCACGAATAATATCTATAATTCCTCAAATAAAGATAAAACAGTTGTCCAATTATAGTCAAACTCGAGTAAGTTCTGATTGTGAATTTGTGCTACCTTGTTGCATCAAATGGAACAAAATGCAGTAGTCCAACTTCAAAGAAATAATGGAGAGACCACTACTTTCGATAGTAACCGTTGATCTCTGGTAGGTGGTTAAAATTCTTTCTAAATCCAACACTTACCATACTCCAACAAATCACACTCATTTTAAATTCACATAAAAGAAAAATCTTAACCATCTATAGAAAATTAATGATTGTGATAGCATACTGATCCTCCATATTTTCCTACATTGGAGAGGATCCAAGTCCACCAACTTGAATAGCGATCCAACGCAGCTCGCGAATTTTAATAATACTTATACTTTACTATCAGTAAATCTCAGATACATATTATCCCAAAAAAAAAAAACAGATACAGGTCTTTTAAAGGGGGAAAAGGGAAAAAAAATGGTAATCACTGGAAGAGCTATAATTAGATCGATTATCAAAGATCTTCGAAATCTATATCATTTTCTATAACATCAATGCAGTATCCTACGGATTTTCCAGAAGCCATGGCTTCTGCTAGCTTCGATCGAGCTCTTTCATGGCGACGGAGCAGCAATACCGTGTTCAATACAGCCCATCTCACTTGAGAGTCCGCTTTCTTCTGTGTGAAGCCTAAGCTTTTGAGCAAACTATCCAACTACACCACAGAGAAATACAAGAGGCCTGAATGAAGTCGGTTTATGCAAATACATTTATTTCTAACTACACCTTCGTACTATACGGTGTAATCACTTGTATCCCTAAATTATTTTATTAGAGTGAAGTCAGTTTATGCAAATGCATTTATTTCTAACTACACCTTTGTACTATACGGTGTGATCACTTGTATCCCTAAATTATTTTATTAGAGATGTTGCGTGGGAATCACAAAGCCACAAATTATTTGCTGCTGAAAACATCGAGGGTAAAAAGAAAAATAATTTTTACGTGATATCTCACCCTCACGGGAAGACATTTTCAGGGAGCCTAATTGCTAACAAAAATAATGGGTTAATTGCTGATAGACTCCCTGTAATTCTATTGCAGCGGATGAACCATTTGTAGTTCTATTGATGCGGATAGCCTCCCTGGCATCTCGCCCAATTGCGGATATACCACTGTAGTACTAGTGGTGCGTAAATATAGACCCTGACTGAACTTTTTTGACTCAAGAGCGCGCGTGCGCACATACACTCACGCTCGCTCACTCAGATGGTCTATCCGCAGCCAATCAATAGTATAGGGATGCCGCACCAATAGGGCTACAGATGGTCACCCGCAATTCGGTGATAGATCAGGGATTCTGTCTGCAAATAACCCTAAAATAATTCAAGGGGTACATCTACAACTAAACTATTTTCAAAGGGTTTGGGGATTTTACCTTGTAAATGTCAGCAAGTCCTCCCTCAGAATATCCAAACAGAAGATACTCAGTTGCTACACCGGCCAGTGCTATGCATGAGAAACTGTTCAGCATCTGAGGGAAAATGTTCCAGTACTGAGTATAACTAAGACGTTTAAGTTTGATATTACCACTGTAAAATTAGTAACTTAATTACTACCAGAGTATACAATACGCCTAGTCACGGCCATTTGGTCTTTCTATCTTATTGCATTTGCATTAACCCTTGATACGTAGATTTAGAAATTTAAATAAACCAAGCATTGAATTACAACCTAGCCACATTTCTACACCATGATAGGCATACTGAACCATCATTCAAGGATGAAAACTTAGGCATTCTTTGAAACCACACATCACTTCCTAGGACTGATGAAATATTGATTCACTGGTGCGGTAATTTGTAGTACTTAATTATTTTGAACATATATATAAGCGATTACTTTATTTTATGATTGCCTCCAAGAGAAAATTTTTGTTTCAGCCATACATGATTTTAACTATGAAGGATGGTCATGTAAGCTTCTTGCTCTGCACTCTGCAGAAGATTGATTAAATGAAATTCTTCCGAAGAATTTGGTCAGGCCTCTATCATAAGATATGTTATTATAACATATTTAAAAAAAATATTTATAGTCCTAGTACACTGCATATAAAAGTTGACCAAGTGTGAAGATGCATCATAACCGTTCAAACCTGCTTTTGTTTTGTAATTCTAATTCTAGTTCAGATAAAATGGGTTGAATGAGCTCAAAACCTTGGAGTCTCATGAAGCGACAATTTAAGGTATCCACCTCTCTCCTCAATGCAAAAAATATTAACAATATGAAAGGGTACCATAGCAAGTGTAATCAATATCCACATGGATAGTAGCTGTCTCTTCAACAAAAGCAAGTAACAGAACATTTACAAATGAGACTGATAAAGAAAATCTGCAGAAGCTTATGGCATCTATGGTGGAACCGAAAGAAACATAGAATTATAAAAAGAAACTAAAAGCAGGCAAAAACATGTAAGTGGGTGTAATTTATCTTTTGCAAAAACTATAAATAAAAAATAAAGAGTTCTCACCTTTGCAGAAACTTTTCCAGCATCAATCTGCATAAAATAACACCACCATAAATCATAAGTCCAAGAAAGTAATAGACCAAGTCACAATACTCTTGACAGTGACACCTCATAACTAATAGCTTAATAGTAAAGTAATAAACTTATAAAACTGAGCTAAGACTTTGAGGTGGTTTGTCGAAGAGGAGATCAAATATGATGGTAAAGTTTTTTTTTAATTTTCACATTATATCCGAGAGGTGACCAAAGGACAAGTTACCAAAAAACAGTACACGACTGACACAAAGTTGATTTAATTATATATAAGAAATATTATTATAATGCAAAGTCCAAAAAGCCCCTAACCACCATCACACCATGGCTCTACAGAGAGCAAATGTTATTTACATGTGGAAGATAGCATCTGCAAGGAAAAAAACTTGGAGAGATGAATAGTAGCCTAAACTTGTGTTTCAGTGTTGGGGATAACAATTGTCTTATCCCAATTCCCCCTAGCTTAAGTTGTGAATATTGGTTAGCAGTTACTTATACTGTGATACACAACAATTACACTATTTGGATTTGTTTGATGTATAATATAAGAACACAATTTGAGGTTATTTGACCCTAAAATTAAATCAGTTCCTGATAATGAATTATTTCGTCTCGCCAATTCCTCTTTCCGGAACCTGTCCTAATATGTGGCTAAATATATTGAGCTCATTAAGCCATTCCACAAACTATGAAGACAAAGAAACATATCTTCATGCATATTAAGGGCTATCTCCTCGATTAGTTGACCGCTATCATATCCTTATTACTAAGAAGAAGATCTAAGGTACAAAAGCATTCATCATCTCTGCTTGTGTTTATTTATTCCTTAGCACATATTGTTAACCTTATCCTTTACTTGTGCCAACTTAACCAACTAGGAATTTGTCTGGACAATCATCACCCCTCTGAGATTTTGCTCTCTCGCAGGAGAAAGAATGATATCTCAGGTATACCTCAACAGAATACACCATGGTTCATACATTGCACAAACATAATAAAAAAATATGATGCTTCCTTAATTAATATAAAAAATGGTATCTCAGGTATTCCTCAACATAAAACACAATAGCTCATATGTTGCACAAACATAATTAAAAATATGATGCTCCTTAATTAATGCAAATATATGCTTCTATTGTAAAGAATACCATATATTTAAATTCTAATAATGTTCATATAAGCAGAAATAAGTTAGATAAAAATATAAATATAAATCCAGATAAAATTAAACCATAGAGAAAAAACCTCCCAGACTCATCCAAGAGGTGAGCTGCCGCACATGGCGATTTCTGAAATAGTACATAGAGATTCCAGGAAATATTAAAAATATTTCATAGCTTAAGGAATACAAACAGGAACACTTTACGATATAGCATCAAATAAAGGAGCGATGAGGAGATGCAGACAGAATCAAACAATGAAACAACAGGAACAGTAAGGTTGTAAGAAAAAGTTACTTCTTCGACAAACTCTAAATCCACAAAAGCAGTGCCAGCTTGAACATTCAGAGATTGATCCTTTATAAAGGCTTCCAAGCTTGATAAAGTATACCCCTTTGGAAGAATTCCAAGCAAGTAAGCAATTAAGAAGTGGCCAGCCTCATGCTGCATACAAGTATAAGACTAAATGAAGTTACTTCAAGAAGATATCAAATTTACTAATTTCCCTGCATAAAATAGATAGCCACTCGGTGCATTTAACCAAAAGTTCCAACAATAATACGTAAAACAATCAACTCTACATCTTTTAGCACAACATAATGTTTAACCAAAAATTCAATAGCTGACATGCTACTGAAATACATTTTGGTTTATTATACATCTTTCATCACGGCATAGCATGTTCCAAATTATTAGTGACGAGTCAACAAAACTAACCTATCCAATAAAAGAATAATTGATGAACTCATTGTCATTATCAAGCACTACAATCAAATAACTAAAAAAGAAAACTCAGTAATACCAGTTAGATTCATTTTACCTGAATAACCCTGTTATGATACTTTTGGCTGAGGTTGTGACCAATAGTATCAAGTATCAAATTCCGTACACCTCCATCAAAAGAGATCTAAGAAGATAGTATTAGTTAGTACATGAGAGCACGTGCAAGATGGGCAAAGAAAATAACAAGAGTAAATTTTCTTCCCAGTAAGATAGTAACTTTTCTTCCCAATAGATTCAATGAGTAATGCAATCAAGCAATGGCCTGGCCTAGTTCTAGCAACTTCGTATCAGTGCTATCTGAGAAAGAGCTGCAACTCTTAGCTGAAGAAATTAGCAGAGCTCAGCATCCTATTTGAGAAACAGCTGCAACTTTAGCTGAAAGTGGAGCTTGCTTTGAATACTGCTGTTGACTAATTCATGAGTAACTCAGATTTGGAAAAGTCTAGCTTAGTCGAATCAGATGCACAATCCAGTAATGCCAACGGCCATCAAGGTGTACGATTTGTTTTATGTAACATTTTTCCAACTATAGAATTGCACTGTTCCAAATCATTCATCAATATATAGCACTGATAGGAATTGACTAACCTCCTTCACTGCTCTTATTTACTTCACTATACTAATACTCACATATTCCTCTCATGTTTTCGTGTCTATAATTTTTCTAACCTTCAAGGTTTTTCACATTTTGCTTTTCGTATCAAGCAAACAAAAAGTAAATGCAATGAATCTGAACTGGAACTGGAACAACAGTCGAGGTTTTCAGGGATGCTATTATCCATAAGTTGCTTTTCTCCATACATCAATTTAGCCCATATCCTCAAACTCAAACCACCAACTAATCCGCTCTTGATTCTACCAATCAAATTACACAACTTTCCTCCATCCTAATTGGGCACATAAATTACTAATGTCCTATATAGCTACAAATAAACCTTTTCTCCAACCCAAATCTTCTCTCAAAGATCTGTAACATGTACAAACTATGTCTTATACAGTTACATACCCTTTTCCACCCTCCTAATGTCTTCTTCCTGCTGCCTTTTAATGGTCCATCTCATATGGTGAATGTGACTCATGCAAATTCAGCAAACAGTTAACATTCTGAATCCAAGGTAATAACTAACTATTATTATGTAAATTATTGGATAAATGTGTGCTCACCAAATCAACCGACCATAAAAACAGTAATCCCACTGATATATACAATATCTGTAGCTGAGAAAGTCCAAATGCAAACCATGCTGAAAGCCCTCCTAAAACTGCAGCAAACTGGAGGTTTCTCTCAATTGAACCTAAAGTAACGTCCACCGGTGACAAGAAAGAAGATGTATCTATTCCATTTAACTTCAATTCATCGAGGGTATAGAGTCTCTGCGGCACCTGCACCAACATTTCAAATCCGAGATCAAAGCCAAAACATCAGCAAAGGTAAGTGTGGGTTTGATTATTTGTTCCTCTAAAATAATAAATAGTACTATTTATGTGAGTATGAATTCATGCATATGCTGCAATAGATCGAAAACATATATCACATAGTAACTGCAAAATATAAGGATTACTAGACTAAATAAACTCAAGACTATTAGCGCCTATTATTCTAGAGCTAGCAGATCTAACAATTAACTGGGGTTCAAGAAGAACGGAAAAAACATTAATATGTCAAACAAAATGGCATACTTCTTATCACATTCATTTATGAGCCTTTATCAAATAACCAAGGGGCATTTTCTTAGTCTTCCATTTACAGGAAAGTTTGAAGAAATCATCGGCATCTTCAAGCAACATGCAGTAGCCTCGAAAAAAAATATTTAGCTCTACTTATCAATCAATTTGTAGTAAAAATAAACACCAGTAATCTGACAAAAGTAATTAGAAATAATCTAACTGTTCCACATGTTTCTAGCAAAATGGTTCTCATGAAAAAGGGACTTGTTTATAGTGCAAATATTATGTTCATCTGAACCAGGACACGCCGATCAAAAACCAGTATTGCGCTGTTATTGTTCTGGAAATTGGCATCATAGGAGCCAAAATGGAACTCTCGTTTAGCTAGCATTGCCTCTCTGAGGACCCGGCTATTACTGAATACAGTTACCTAGGGTGACATATTTGACAACCATGAAAAACCATCTAAAATGTACAGAAATATTCCAGTTAGATTTTATATCATATGGAAACTGTAAGCATGCAAGCATATCTTTACCTAAGCATGTCAAGAATAACAAGTGCTTTTCTTAAAGCTCGTGAATCAGGCCCATTTATTTATTCGACAAAGTTTAAAGCTATATTTCAGTTTGTTGTTCAGCTCATTCTAAACAACAATCGTAATCAGTAAAACCGAATCATGAAACCCAGCTAATGTATATTATCATGAAAATCACAGAGAGAACTCATATGGCAAGGCTTGAATTCAAGCAAAGAAATCTAAAATTAAGTATCAAGAGATCAGAGAATATCGACCTGCCTCGCTGCTCCAAAGCACCTTAGACCACCAGGATTCTCCTGCTGTTCCTTGACAAAAAGCAGTGCTTCCCTCTCATTTCCCTTCCGCAGCAAATCATCTACTCTTTCTAGGATCTGCAACCGTCCATACGCAGGCTCAACAGATTTCGAAGTTGACTCAGTAGGATTGACAGCTTTGATTGTCAATGTCCTCGGCCTGAAACGAAGTAAACAACCATGGTAATAGCAAGTAAAACTCATTTTTCTTAAGAACAAAACAATTTCTTTAGATGATAAGGGCATATACCTTTTTGGTTTAGAATAAACCTGGACCACAGACCCAAACAAAATGCCTCACACAGCAATAGCAGCCATCCACATATAATGACATCATAACACTTTCTGAGCCACAGAAATAGAAGAGACAAACCAAATCCAAGAAAAGCAAACAAAACCAAACAAAAAACATAAATTACAGCGGTTTAGAAAATCAATACACATGAAGGAACATAAAGGAATTAAGGACTCAGAAAAAAAAAAGAATATACGTGTAATTGCATTACGCTAGATTGAGACCACAAAGTGACCACATTAAAACTTTAAAAAGCAACCTTTTTGAGCCACACAGAAAAGAAAATCCAAAATATAAGAGCAAAGCATGCACTATAATAGTTATCAAAATAGGAACTTTCAATTGCAGGTTTAAACAAACTCATGACGAAAAAAAAAAAACAAAAGAAGCAATAGTGAAACAGTGCCCTGATAAACTTCAAGGATGACAGATCAAACATAAAAGTTTTTCTTAATCTCCACATCCGAGTAACAGCAAAAACATCACCATTTCATTGACTATCACTACCATATCATGCAAAAAAATTGATGGATCAAATAAATACAACCTGAAAAATATCACCATTTGATTGACTATCATTATATAAAGACAGTTGTCTCCAACATCAAGCCAATATTACAGCAGTCACACACCTCCACAGTAATCATGGGCCTACGCGAGCCCAAAAAAACAACCAAAATACTTCAAAACTACATATTCCCTCTCTCGCACACAAAAAGGGCAAACACCTAGAACTCCTGAGATGCAGACCCAACATCCCCCTTCCCCTTGCCTTGCTTTTTAGGCAACAGCGTCTGATGAATGTTAGGCAAAACTCCTCCATTAGCAATTGTGACCGTCCCCAGGAGCTTGCTCAGTTCTTCATCGTTCCTCACTGCAAGCTGGATGTGCCTCGGCACGATTCTGTTCTTCTTGTTGTCCCTTGCGGCATTACCAGCTAACTCCAAAACCTAAACCACATTGAACAGGATTAGATCAGAGAACGCAGTACAATACCGTACTTTAGTTGCCACTTCCAAAACACTACCTAGACTAAAGAAACATAGATTAGTTACCGCCCTAGTAACTCAGAACAAAATTAAAATTTGACTGCAAATTTCCCCAAAATTCAAAAACGCCCTCGTGATAGTTTCTTAAGAAACGAGAGATGAAACACTGCCCTATTACCAACTAAAATATCTCTAAAAATCACATTTTGATTGCATATTTCCCCAACAAACCTGAGCCCCTAGCAGAAGAACATAAAAAGTCACCATTTTTAATTCCCCACAATGAAATATTAATCGCAAAACAGCTCCAGCGACCAGATCATCAACCCTACTTTAAGCACTTCAATCATCAACCCCAACCAACCAACAAACACCCAAATATTTAAATCCAAACCCTAAAGGTAACAAAATTGCTCACCTCGGCAGCGAGGTACTCAAGAACCGCAGAGAGGTACACCGGAGCTCCGGCGCCGACCCTCTCAGCGTACTTTCCCGCCTTCAGGAACCTAGCGATCCTGCCAACGGGGAACTGGAGCCCAGCCTTGCTCGATCTCGACACGGATTTCGAGCTCTTGGGCTTCCCCCTCCCCCCCTTCGTCGACGCTGCAGAGCTCATCGTCGAGGAACGATAATGAAGGAGGAACTTGGAAGGGCGCAAGAGAGAGATATAGGGCTGCGATGAGCTAGGTCATCTCGGAGGTTTTATATAGAGGGGGAGCTGTGTCGTGATTGGTTGATGGATGTTGACGAGGATCGCCAGGGTGGACGGTCGTGATGGAGTAGCGGAGGGATGTGGATCTTGGTAATGTCGCGGCGAAAGGTGATGGGCCACAAAGGCGGGGTTTTTTCAAGCCTACCTCTCAAGACAGCCCGCCCAGAATTACTCTCACGGGCTGCACTAATCCTCCACCTGCCCTTTAAACCCTTCGCCTTGCCCCATTTCGTCGTCCTCTCTCTCTCTCTCCTCTCTCGTTCCCCCAAATTTCTCTCTTTCCTACATCGAACGATGAAGCGGTCGATACCGAGCAGGACCAGGAGCTACAGCCCTCGCCGCCTCAGCCACAGCCTCCCCGCCGGAAACACCTACGAACGACCACCCACGACCGCCACCCCCGCGGCGGCGCGGCAGGTCGGGCGGGCCGGAGGCGGAGGGGTTCAGGGATCGGCGCTCCGCCCCCTCGGCTCCGCATCCGCAACATCTCTCTCGATGCTAGGTCATTTACTTTCGTCCCATCTCATCGATTAGTTTCTCTCGAGAGCTAGGGTTAGGGTTGGGGATTAGAGCTTCATCTCTCATCATAAGTAGTATTTGTCTCATCTTGTCAGGGGATTTGTCTGTTGTTCTCTGGGCTTGTCAATTTATAAGTCGTTGATTGCTTGACTTCATGTTGCAGTTAAAAGAATTAAGTTTTAGAATAACGTGAGCATAGGGTGAAAGAACTGCTCTTGTCGGAACCAAAATTTGGATGGTCTTAGATTCTCATTTTATTTAAAGGATGAAGTTGAGATACAAAATGTGACGGATCTTTATGCAGAAACGCTATATGAATCATATGTGTTATAGGAGTTAATATGTCTGGGATCACGAAAGACTTGTGGTTATGATTCAATTCTTTATTCAAATCCAGTCAATTTGTCTGATTACTCACCTCTTACGAGAAATAAATAAAATGCCACACTGTGTAAAAAGATTATGTATGCGACAACTATTAAGTTTGTAATTTGTAAATAGGTTCATTTCCCTGCTACAAAGTACAAACCTTTTAGTTATGGATCCTATGCAAATTACAAAGTATGTCATATCTCATATGTAAATTGCTTCAATCCTTTTCCTAAAATGAAAAGATTTGGTTGACTGCTGCAATTTTACTGATCTAATGCTACACTTCACATAATTTAAAGTTTTGAGATTTGACGAATACAAGGAAAAAAGTTCTTAAACTTGTTAGTACATTTAATGTACTTTGTTACTTAGATTAAGTATTTAGTTTTCAAACTATGGTCATATTTGATGATTTATCAGTTGGCAATATGAAAACACAACATTCTAGTAACTTTAGGATATTACGATTGCTGAAACTCTTACTAAATGTAGGATAAAGGCTTTGTTACTGTTGTTGTTAAACAGCCAGACATATTTTGAGGTTAGGGTTTTAACAGGTAGTAGGTTTTACTACTTTGTTATGGGGTTACAAAAAAATCTTCCCTCAAATGCCCTAATTTTGACAAAACATGTGTCATCATTTAATTCAATAATAGATCAACTCATCTGTACACAAGTCATTTTTTAGTTGAATGGGTTAATTATTGGTAAAGAATTCAAGTTTAGAAGAAAATAAGCATAGGGTGAAGAAATGCTCTTTTCGCGGACTCACATAAAACCAAAATTTGGATGTTCTTAAATTCTCATTTTACGGCAAGAATAAAATTGGGATATAAAATGTAGTGCTTCTTAGGATTTCATCCAGAATCGATTATATGAATCATGAGAGGTATAGGAGTTGATCCATCTGGGTTCATTAGATACTTGTGGCTGCGGTTTCAATTCTTTATTCAGATATAGTCAGTTAGTAAGATTAATCAGCTCTTAACGAGTAATAAATAAGATGCCACGCTGTGTAAGAAGATGATGTGTGCAACAGTGTGTCAAGTTTTTAATTTGTAAATAGGAGTATTTCCTTTCTACAAAGTACAAACCTTTTAGTTATGGATTCTTATACAAATCACAAAGTATATCATATGTAAATCACTTCAATCCTTTTCCTAAAGTGAAAAAGATTTGGTTGTCTGCTGCATTTTTTTTGGATCTAACGCTGGACTTCACATGATTTGTAGTTTCAAGATATGATGAATACAATAATTTTTTTGCCTAAACTTATTAGTACTTTTAAATTTTAAATTACTTTGTTACTTAGATTAAGTATTTAGTTTCTGTTGGACTATAGTATGGTCATATATGACGGTTTATCAGTTTATAATATACATACACAACATTCTAGTAACTTTAGGATATGACAATTGCTAAAATTTTTATTAAATGTAGGATAAAGGCTTTGTTGCTTTTGTTGTTAAACAATGACACATATTATGGGGTGCAACATAAAATGAACATCATTTTTTCTTCGTTCTATTGTTTATAAGAAAAACTTGCTTTTCTCATAGTTGACATTTGTGACTATCCTAGGCTACGTTCACTGTTATAAATAGCGGTAAATAGCTCTGCAATAGCGGCGCTAATAGCGTTAGCGGTCCTTTCCCGCGACGCTATCGCCCGCTACGCTATCGCGCAATAGCGGTGACATATTGCGGAATATGTTTGTTTGCAAAAACGGCCAATAGTGTGTCATAACGATAAATAGTGAGCGATTGCATTCGAAATTTGCTTTTTGACTGCTATTTAAAAGCGGTTTGAGGCTTATTTTTTAAAAATTAAACTCAACCATTGACCATTGCATTTCACTATCTCCTGTGATTTTTAGCATACTCCCGCCACCTCTCATATCCTCTGACACCTATCTTGATACTTCCTCTCACCTCCTTCACCGTGAGCTCCTCTTAGGGCAGTCCTGTCACCGCTAAGCTCTTCTTCTTGAAAATGATGACTTTTTGACTTCTCCAGTCATCTTCGGTATTACGTGATGGTTACATATCTATTTCATGTTTAGGATCTCTTTAAATCATCCAATGTGTACTTTTAGATTTCTTAGATTTCTTAGATTTTTCTTTAATTTTTCTTTTTTTAGTTTTTATACATATCTAAATTAGATTGTTATTTGACTTTGCATTTTTTACCGTTATTTTTGCCGCAATAGTCAGAAATAGCTTTAGCGATGCCTCACCGCTACGCGACGCTATCCGTTATCGATAACCTTGGCTATGTTGCATTGGTACTTGCATTGGTACGGTATGGGTATGGGTATGGGTATGGGATTCAACAAATTTGTTAAAGGTAAGGTCATAGAAGTTGGGAACGTTGTACACTATAATGAACCGCGAACCGGGTTCAATCGTCCCAAATTCGGGTGGAACATGACTCGATTCACCAACTCTAGCGACTTAGAATTCAAACTAGTTAATTTAAAAAAAAACTCTTTTCAAAATAATAAACAACAAAGAAAGTGAGAGATTAAGCAAATAAAATATGCATATCTTAATTGCAACATGATTCTCAAGGTTCTTTACCATTACCGATATCAACTAGCATTTAAGACCTAAACCTAAGGGGTACCACATTTTCTAGCATACTATATAAGCCTACCCCCCTCGTAATCGATTCCTAATTAGTGGTGTACCACGTTTCCATACCCGTCCCATGAACTGGAACGATCTAGATTCCATTCAACTATGTGTAGTGTATAGAGACGGCTATATAAATATTTATATACACATATATTATATATTTGAATTGCTAATTTATACGAGAAAAAGGATGAGAATTAAATTCTTATGACAATTTTATGTTTCTTTTATTATGTGGATTATAAATTGGAAAATCACTTGTTTCTGAACCAGACATCCAAAATGACCCTTAAATCATAATTCAAAACCTGACCTATGTCCAACATGTTTCACGAAGGGGATGTGAAGTGTAGGATATATGTCCAAAAAATGTATGATAAGTGTTTTAAATTAAAACATGTATTGTATAATTGAGGACATGTTTGAATAAATGTATGTATGTATGCAAAGAGTGTCCAAGGAGTTTGGGTATGGATACGGATATGTGTTTGGTTCAGGTACGACTTCAGATTAGAAGTATATAGCTAACGTAGATCGTCGATGTTATTGTCCTTTTGCTCTCTCGTTTAATTTTAGGGTTATTTGCATATATACCCTTAAATGATGGGTATTTGCAAAAGTACCCCCAAATCTTAGTATTTGCAAACCTACCCCTCAGATCATCAATTTCGCAATAAAAAAATCCAAAATCAATCAATCATCAAGTTTGATTGGCTAATTTGTAATTTTAATGCAAAAACTAACAAAATAGTCAAATTTTTACTTACCAAGTTGTTGATTTGTTGATTTTAGGGTTTATCCCCCTCCAAAGTTGATGATTTGGGGGGATGTTTTGCAAATTACACATGATTTAAGGGGTAATATGAAAATATCCCTTAAGTTTATTGGTTATCATACGGCAATTTCTAATTGAAGCGTTTACATGTCATTTATAATATGTGGGTAATTGGTCTATTTAATGCATATTTGAAAGTAAGATTGTCATTTCCACCCTTTTCAGATTTATGTTACTTTCATTTCTTCATAGATAAATTGATGAAAATATTTATTTTATTTTTATTCAATGTTTTTTTCTTGTGCAGGCCAGAGGATCTTCGGGTCCCATTCGAACGCTTTGGTCCTGTTAGGGATGTTTATCTTCCGAGAAACTACTACACTGGGTATAGTTTAGATGAATCTTGAAGACATGACTTTATTGTTCTTTATAATTTTCTCGTGCAAGTTCCATTTGTATATTTTTCTCCACCATTTAACATGATTTTTTCTGATCTTTTTAACCTTAATTGACCTTTAACCTTTCATTTTAATCATGCTTAATTTTTATTTTATTCATTGCTAAATAAGTGAATTGTTTCCATTTTTAATGTAAACGATTGAGCTCTATAAGTCGCTCAAAACTTTGTTGCTGCCTATCATCCTCTCTAGATTCATATGCACTCCACAACA